TTCCTAATTTCCTCTGGAGGAAGTTTTCCAGAGATGCTTGCCACAGATAAGCAGGGAAGTATGTTTTAGGGAGGCAAGGTCCACAAGCTTCCTTCACAGAGGGAAGGACAGGACAGAAGTCCCTGTAACTGCAGGCTCTCCATAGCTCAATCAATGGCCAGCTGGGTGCGAGAGGACTTTCCCCATCCAGTCTCTCCCCATCACCAGCTGGACAACTTCTACCACATGAACTATGTCTGGGTCTGGTCTGTCAAGAAAGATCTTTCTGGCCCCCTTCCAGTTGGAGGAGAACCCAGACTCAGCACCTCCTACCAGCTGAGGCCACTGTCCCTACTCTCCTTGGGGCTACCAGCACAGTCATCCTGTCTCCTGACAAGCCCCAGACATGTGTGGTGAGGTTGGAAGTGGAGCTCAAATCCAGGGCTGTGACTGTACAGTGTAGAATTTCTGGAGTGTGGCCTCGTGTGGCTCACTGGGGTGCAGGCTCAGTCTCCCTCTAAGCCCACAGCAGCACCAGCAGCACCAAACAGGAGCTGAGCAGTAAGGTTGGGGATATCATGGGAAAAAACCGATGTCCTGTCTTTCCTGGACAAGGCAGTGAAAGGCATCTTCTCGCGTCACTCTAGAAATCATTGTAAAAGACATGTGGCTTTCAATTCACTGGTGTAGCAATTACCCATGCTCCCAGCCCCTAGAGGACATGACCTTCAATTCTGAATTCCATTCTCCAAAGCCTACAGGACCTCGGCAAGCATGTCACCTTGTGGTTCCTACCCTTCAGGGTTTTCTGGACCTTCAGGGTTTTCTGGGCAGGGAAAAATCCCCATTTCACTTCTCAGCATGACACATGTGTCAGCAGGACCTCGGAGGCCCAGAGTACCTGAGAGGCCATCACCTACCACATGTACCAGCTCTGTCACCCTAACTCCCTTGTGCTCAGCCACACTCTTGTTCCTTTCCTGCAAAAGTAGAGCCCTCTCCATGGCTTCCTGAAAGCCCAGCCATTACCCAAAATCCTCCCCACTCTGTCCACTCACTAACATTGCTCACCCATCAGGCACAAGTGCACTGTGACCTTCTCCCTGTCCACTGGTACTGTCCACATGCACACACACACACACACACATATATTCACACATGCACAAACACACGTACATATACACATGCATGCACACACACATATACACATGCACACATGCACACATATATGCATATACATGCGCACACACATACAGACTTGTGCCTGGAGCTATATGGCTGGCCAGTTCTTTCCACACTAATTAAATGTAACTTTACCAATGTCACTGACATTCATTCTTCCTTGGATGGTAATTTCTAGTTTTTAGAGAGATTTCCTTCCATTCTGTGTGTGTCTGATCAGGGATAGTCAGCTCCATTTCATTGATAGATAAGTGAGGCACAGAGAGCCCATGGTAGAAACAGCATAGAGCCCAGCTTGCCTGGATGGGCCAGGAGCTCTTTGAGAGCCACATCTGCCTCTCCTGTGACTGTGAGAGGTCCTAGCTGTGGCTTGGGCATAGTACTAGGAAGCTGTCAGCATAGGGGCAAGTTCCCCTGAAGCATAATTACCAAAGAAAACAAAGGACGGCCAGAGCCAAATGCAAGCAGCCCAACCACATTCCTGGCCAGCCCTGGCTTGGGCATGTGACTGATCAGTGATCAAACACAGCTCAGTGGGAAGAAGCCAAGCCAACATTCACCAGCCGTCCACCCTGTCTGCAAGCACCAGGGCCACTCAGTCATGGCTTCTCCTTTACCCTGTCAGGCCAGAGTGAGTGCTTCCGTGTTTCTCTCAGCTGTCACTGACTCTGAGTCCCCTCTTCTTCTTCCAAAGGGTCCTGGGACTCATGGCCAGGGTCAAGACTTACCACGCATGTCCCTCAGATCCCAGTCCCCACCTCTGAGGCTCCCACTGTGTCCCTCTTGGAGATGACTGCCTTAAAGTGCTCAAAATAACCCTCATCCTGCTAGATAGAGATCAGCCCTGTTAAGGAAAGCAAGCAGAATCCTCAAAGACATCAGGCTCTCCAATCCAGCACACCAGGGACTGAAATGCCAGGTCTTCTCCCATAGCAGAGCCCCCGGCCTTTCTGAGATTGCAGGCACAGGTGGACTGGGGCCAGCTTGCACCAGGTCACAGAGCCAGCTGTTTGTGTCTTCTCCATTTGCCTTCAGTGAAGTCACTTTAGTGGTCTGAAGTTGGCTATGGCTGAAGCATTTACAACGTGGAAACTGGCGAGTGTTCCCAACCCTGAGAGCTGATTGCTGTGCCTGCCTTTCTCCAGTGTGAGGGAAGGTCCAAAGTTTCTCCCAAGGAGATGCATGTGTGCACACTTTCACATTTTATGTATGATTTTCAGGCAGTGTGGTCCTCTGAAGCCTAATAATGAACTCCTAGGTTAAGGACCCTCACTTGTAGCTTTCAGATGCCTCTTGGCAAAGGAAGAGGGATTGCCACATGAGCCAGAAACTGTCCAAAGATTTGAAATGTTTCATTGCTAAACCTCCTTCAGTTCCAAAATAAGCATGATGGTGTCACCATTTCATAGACAAGGATACTGGGGCTGGGAGAGGGTGGCCACCTTGTCCAAGATTGCACAAATACTGAGAGACTAGGTTGGGGTTGGAACAAGGATTCTGGTCTCAAAAACTTGACTCTGCTCACTATGTAATTTGGAAAGCAGCTTCTTCAGGAAGCAAAACAGTATACAAGGTCAATGTGGTAGGCAGAGCAATGGTCCCCCCAAGAGCCCACATCCCAAACTAGAGCTGGAGGCCTCTTCTTCCAATTTCCTAGATTATAGAGAGAGCCTCTGGAAGTCACAGTCAAACTATCTGTTTACAAAGCATCACAAGTCACCTCCTTTATCAGGAGCTCCCCTGCCTGGCACACCTGTCCCCGGCTCATCTGCCCATCACCAGCATGACGATAGCACTGGTGACCATATGTGTCCTGGTCAAAGACCTGTCCCTACCTTAGAAGCAGTTGGTAACACCAGAAGGTGGGAGAGAAGGAACAGAGCCACACTCTTCCCTTTAAGTTCCTGTCATTTATGTCCCTTTTTCTTGCCTTCACAACAGGTATTTGTACATCCATTCCATACATGGAGATGTAGGGAATCAGGAAGTCAAGTAACTTGCCATATTCACCCAGCTTGAAGGGGGAAGAGCTAAGACCCAGGAACAGTAACCCCTGGTACTCATACCTTTTTCACTAATATTGTGCCTCCAAGGAAATATCAGCTCTGATCTGATTCTGCTGTTCAACTTACTGCACAGTGCAGAGTCCAGGACACTTCCACATGTGACATCGGTCATCCTCTTCCCATAGAGTCGAAATGAGTTCCTATCTCCATAGTGATGTGTAAGAGTACACATGAGTATTGGCAACCGAAGTGGCTCACCCAAGTTTGGTATTCAGTTTTTACTGGGGCTCCGATATGTAGGCACGATTGATTGGTTACCCATGTTAAACTCAGTTTAGAGGTTGAGTAAGACTGTGATCCAAAGGTCACACGCTTGATGTTTCTGGCCCGACTAGTCCCCACCCTGAGACTGTTGGGTATGGTACTATCACTCTCAAAATTCAATATGGCCAACCTCTCCCTACAACAAAAGCACTCATATCAGGAATGACTTACTTTCCAGAAGCCAAGGTCAAGATCAGACCTTTCTTTGGACAAAACCAGATTCTTTGCCATCATCATGAGGGAACTATGCTATCAACACAGAGAAACACTTTTGTCTTTCCACAATGTCAGAATTTATTGAACATCAGTAGATTTTCATGCAAAAAAAAAAAAAAACCAAAAAAACAAAGCCCATGCAAACAGCCAATGTAGAGAGTCAAAAGCAATGTGAAACAGTGACTGCACTGGGTTAAGAAATCCTGGAGATGCTGAGGGAGGGTTCCAGAAGCCTTCTGAGTGGTTGATTTTGAAATCAGAATCATGCTGAGTTGAGTCTGGGATGCTGGAAAGTTTATCACCTGGTAATCTCCAGGGCACAGGCTGTGAGTATGTACTGTAGTGACCAAAAACAAAGTAGTGCTGCAGTGTGACATGTCTTTCTTTTATGTGTCTTGGATGAGGAAATTGCATGATTTGTGGGTCTGGTGTATCTGATAAGCTGACAGGTGGCAGTTTTTTATTAGCACAAATAAGTCTCCCTTGTGGTTGTACTGGGCAGATGTCATGTGTACACACAAGATGCTGAGTCATTCTGCCTTAGCATTTGCACACAAATTGGAGTGACTCAGGACAAAGCACTGCTCTACACCAGCTGGAGTGACTCAGGGCAGGGCACAGCTTGTGCTATACAACCATGAAGCTGAAAAATGCCTTCCAGATTTTCTACCCTAATGTTTTCCCAAGCTCGTGGTGTTTGCTCATTGGCCCTGGGTGCACAGGCTCCCCAGTGTCACCTGTATTTGGCCCATACAAATCTCTGAACTGGCTTCCTAATCCTTACCCCAATCTGCCTGCTGCCTACTAGAGGCTCAATTCAGTACAACATATGTTTATTGAACAGCCACCAGGCACCAGGCACTAGGGTGGGCTACGTGGATAAAGGCCAACTTGGAGGGGTTGTGAAAGCTCAAGTTCTATGTGTAAAAGGACTAGTTCGGAGAAGGGACTCAGAATACCAGCCATTTTCATGACTTTTCTCAGTGAATGGATAAGCAAACAAATATGCAATACCATAAATATGGTTAGACTGTGGTCAGAAGTACTTCCTCTTGGAAAATCATTTACAGACATTGTATCTCAGCATTGATGAGTCTAAGTCAACACACATGCCAGGGGTCTACCCCATAGGGCCCTTTGGACTAAAGGTTGAGCTATCTCAGCTAGACTGAGACTAAACCAGAACCGTATACAAATTCTTTGTTAGGAGGAGTGCTGGGTTTGGGCTTGTTTGGACTCACCAGTGGGTTACTGTTCCCTTAACATTTTCCTCTCCTTTCCCTTGTTTCTCAGCCTAGAATTGCTGGCAGATGTCCAGTATGCCTTCGGATTGCCCTTCTATCCTGCCTACAGTGGGCAGTTCTCTCTGGAGGAGAAAAGCCTGTCACTGAAAATCATGCAGTACTTCTCCAACTTCATCAGATCTGGGTGAGAGGACCAGTATGCCCCTGGATTCTACCAGCGTGCTTCGCTCCCTGTTTCTGCTCATCTGAACACAAAGGCTATGTTTTGCTTCAATAGATTCAGCCTCTCCTCATAGACATTTTAATCTGTAGCCACTCTCCCTCTGTATCAAACTCCTCTTCTTGATCTCCTCTCTAGCCAAAACTACCTTTGCCTACATCTCTATGAAGAAAGTTTCCCATCAGAGCCCTCTGTTGTTCAGCCGTATTTGATGTCTCTAGATGAGGGTTTCTCACCCTTGGCACTACTGAGACACTTGGGGCTGGTTAGTCTGTGCATGTCTTGTGTGTTGTAGGACACACAGCAGATCCTTAGCTTCTACCCACTACATTACAGCAGGACTCACCCTGTCCTCATTGGGACAACCAAAAAAGAAAGAAAAAAAATCAGGCATGACCCAGTGTTGCTTGGGGAACAAACCACTAGGAGAGCCACTCTGTCCTCTGCAGGGTGCTCCACTTCCTCAGGGCAACAGCTGCAATTAAGGTATTTGTGGCCCTTCTGGATCTACCATAGCCTCCCGTTCCTCCTGTCTGCCTGTACGTCCAGTATGGTGGTCCTCTATACCCTGTCCCCCACTTCCTAACATCCTGCTCCTCCCTCCTCCTGGTAATCTACTTCCTTTTATCTGTTTGCCAGATATGCATTGATTTTCTAGAATTCTGTTAGGTCCCCAAGAAATGTGAAAACATCCTGCCCCAGCCATAAGCTACTGACAACCTGAGCCAGTAAACCAAGCACAATTCAAAGCAGGATAAAATAAAATGTTATTCAGTTTGCTATGGAGGTTAAGCAGGAAAAGGCATTTCTTCTAATTAGGATTTTAGAAAATATTTCCCTGAGGAAGTAACATTTACTCTGAGCCTTCAGGGATGAGTAGAATGTTGCAGCTGAGCAAAAGAGAGAGTGCTTGGGGGGAAGGGAGGGGTCTGAGCCACCTTGCATGGAGGGTGGGGCCTGGTGTAGTGGGTCCTGCTGGGATAGCACTCAGCCCACAGCTCTAGGGCAGGCCCCCATCTGAGAGGTTCTAAAGTCCTATTCATGGGGAAGTTGACTTCTGGGTGGCAAGGTGGCAGGTGTGCTGGTGGCAGGCATGCTGGCGGCTCTGGGTCCACCCTCCAACCCAGGCCATGGACAAACAAGGGCATTCCAGAGATTGGGGATGGTGTCTAGATCAAAGGATATCAGTTAGAAGGGACACCATAGCTTCTTGAACATTCAGAACGTCACAAGGGCAGAACTAGGTCCTGAATCATGCTCACTAGGTTATGAGCTCCCACCCTTCCTTTGCAGAAATGGTCTGCAAAAGGGAACTCAAAGAACCTTTTAACTTAGTACTTTGTAGTGCTCAGTTTGGGCCACAGCCTGTGACCAGATTGGGCAGGTTCCTGGTTGGCATTCAAAGATGAGTGATTTGGCCCTCAAAGACCAAAAGAAAGTAGGAAGTGGTGCAAAATGATTAAAAAAAAAGACACGTTTTGCTCATGGGCATTTCTTCCTTCTCATTTCCCCAGAAATCCCAACTACCCACATGAGTTCTCGCTGAAAGCACTTGAATTTGCAGCCCCCTGGCCTGACTTCATCCCCCGAATGGGTGGGGAGAGCTACAAAGAGTTCAGTGCCCTGCTTCCCAATCGACAAGGCCTGAAACAAGCTGACTGCTCCTTCTGGTCCAAGTACATCCAGGCTCTGAAGGCCACAGGTAGCTAAATCCTGGCATGCAGGAGCTGGGGTTGGTGGTTGGTTGTTTTCCCAGCATCTGCTGACTGGACTATCTGTTGAGCCTAGTCTGCACATATTTGAGCCACTGGGTCACTGGGTACTGGTAGTTTCCTATGAGGTGCTCAGAGCCTAGAGCTCCTTTTCCAAGGTCCCCCTGTTCTGATGGGGGCTGGAAGAGGAAGCAAGAATGATGCCTAATGGGAGAACACCACAGGGGCAGGGGTAAGAAAGTCTGGGAGGTTGCAGCACTCACCTTCTAGCCTGGACTACTGGTGTGGGGAGAAAAGGTGAGCTCTTGAACCTTTTCTCAGAGTCCTGAGGGCTGGATAGAAAATCTTGGAGAAACAATTGTAGCCAGGATAAGGTGGGCATTCCCACGTCTTTCTTTGCAGAGAAATGAAGTAGACAAAATAAATTATAATGAAGGTATTAGAATATAGAGATAAACACAATGCCTTTAAGAGGCTTCCAGAAGAGTATGAGGAGGTGAGTGACATAATACAGTGAGTGTCCTTCAGCTTTCCTGGTGTCAGGGTGGAAGCTTGCACCCAGGTTAGTGGGGCCCAAAGAAGGAGGACTGGCTTCCCCCCACAGGGTCTTGGACTACTCCCAAGGGACAGATGCTCTGGGTTCACAATGACGGTTGTGGGGAGTGGAGTACCATACAGAAAAGGAACCTTGTCCAACACATGTTTTAGATTCTCAACTCTGCTTTTAGTTTCCAAGAGCAAGTGGCTCTCTGTTGACAAACTCAAGTAACCCTCTGCTCTTAGCATGTCCCTACACCCCAGGGATGAATCTGGTGTCCCCGTCACCAGGAATGGAAATGCCCATTGGGGACTGGAGTCTCTTTGAACTGAAAGGAAAAAGACTACAGATGGGAGTCCTAGTCTGGTCTGGACCAACTCTCCCTGTCCTTTCTGTTTCAGATGGAGCCAAGGATGCACAGTCAGCAGGGAGTGAAGAGGGGGACTTGGAAGTGGGATCTGAGCTGAGAGAAGAGTTCCTGGGCCCCCTGGAGTCAGGCCCCAAGAGCTACAGCAAGTGACCAGTCCTGAGACCCCCTACCCACCCTTCCAGCCCCACCCTAGATGTCCAACATGGAGATTTCATTCTATACAATGCCACTTGCTTTCAATAAAGTGTCTACATGCAGTGATGCATTAGTGACTTTGTGCTGTGAATTCAAAACAATTCTTTGGATGGCACCAAACTATGTCTTAATGTCAATCTTCCTGAGGTTTGAATCCCAGGCTGCTGAGGTTTTCAACCAGTTTTAATGGAATATCCACTATGCACAAACCCTGTGCTGAGATCTGGGGAAAAAAGACCCTGTCCTATTAGGAAAGAAAGTCAGGTAAATGGAAGACAGTGACACAGAAAATGGGATTCTAACAAGGGCAGGCACCAGAGTGACACAGTCTCACCTCAGTAATGGGAAAGATTTGCTCAGAATAACAGGTAGAAGACTACCTCAGGCTGATGCAGCAGTCTAGACAGTGAGCTCAGAATCAAGGCAGTGAGTGTGGAGATGGGAGGAGGAACAGATCCAAGGACACAACAGGGTGGAGAATTGGACTGGTTTGATTGAATATGAGAGAGAGTAGGTGCCAGGAAATAGAACTACTGCAGTTTTGGGTTAATTTGGGTTCACACAAAGGTAGCTGAATTCTCATCCACATTTACCTTCCTAAAGAACACGTTGTGAAAGCAAATCTGTTTAAAACTCTTTCTTCTCTTCTGTCTTTCTCTCTCTCTTTCCTTTCTTTCTCTCCCTCTCCCTCTCCCTCCCTCCCAGACACACACACACACACACACACACACACACACACACACACACACACACACTCCCCAAGGCGGGAATTCGTTAGCAGTCCCTGTCATTTACATGGCATGTAAGTGATCATTTACATCACACCCATCATCTCACTCAAGTTCAGACAAAACTCAGTGACTATTGTGGAATGGGCAGGGCTCAGAAAGGCTCTTGCTGTGCCTGGCTTGGATTCACACAGCCTGGAGAGAAGGATGCAGTCGAACTCTGCTCTCAGAAGAAGTGCAGGAGGCTTTCTTTCCTCCACACTCTTGTGAGACTTGGAGGTGAGACAAACCGGCTTCAGTATCCAGGTTGACCAGGTGTTTGCGTGCTTCCACACAGTCCTTTGACCCAGTGGTTCCTAGTTACCTGGGAACTTTGACAGAATCCTAATACCCTGGCCATACCTCAAACTGATAAAATCTCAGGGGCTGGAACATAGGCATTAGAGAAGTCAGTGCACAGTCAAGAATGGACACCACTCTTACTCTTCTCTGATTTTCAGTTTCCTCATCTGTAGAATGGGTTTAGTTAAGTTTGCTGGATGAGAAACACTTCTCAAAGTGTAAGATGGAAGTAATTTTATTTTTCCCATAATTCCCCATTTGTGGTAGGCAAAATAATGTCCACCACAAAGTTATATAGTCCTAATCCTGTGGACAGCAAAGCTGCATGCCAAGGGGAAGCTAAGACTGTAGATGGGGTGACAATTGCTTATCACCTTCACTTACCAGAATTGCCCAGGTAGAACCAAAGTTATCACAAGAATTAATAAAAGTAGATTAGGGCGATAAAAGAGAGGACCAGAGAGAGCACAGCATAAAGAGAATTCAGCTCAAGTTTGCTGACTCTGAAGATGGAGAAAGTGGGCTGGGGACCTAAGAATATGCACAGCCCTACAAGCTGGAAAGGGTAAGAGAATAAATTCTGCCCTGGAGCCTCCAGAAAGGAATGAGCCTGGTAACACATGGCTTTAGCCCACCTGAAATTCATGTTGGGTTTCTCATTACAGAAGTAGAGGCAATAAATCTGTGATGAGCCCGTAAGTTTGTTGTCATTTGTTACAGCAACCACAGAAAAGTAATAATCATTACACCTGGTCACATGTACATTTTATCCTGCCCTTGGACCCCACCTCAGCCACAGGTAGCTCATGGTTTTCCTGATAATAAAGCATCTACTCTAGACCAGTATCAAAACCTGGATTCACCAGCACTAGCCTGAAAACAGTTGTTCACCTTGTCCCATGGTTGGATTGGGGTGTGGGTTTGGTTTGTGGAACAGTTCTGCCCACCACCTGTGTGAGCCCTACTTGTGTGCGTGGTTGGGTACCACTGGATGAAATCTGCAATTTTGTTCTCAAGGTTTACAACCTGAGATAGAAAACATTCTATTTTTACGCCCTGTTATAGTGATCCGATTTCTACATCCTGTTCTAGAGACAATGCCTACTCAACAGATTTGCCCTATTGATTATGGGTGCTAATGTGTGTGAACAGAAAACATAAAGTGCTGCTCACAAAGTCCTCTCAGTTAGCAGTGGGTTTGGGTACCTGTTCTGTACCAGTCCATGAGAAAGGTAAAGATGGGAAAGCTGAGGGTTCCAGGGCCCAGGCTGTGATGGCCCTGCCCTAGAACAGCTCTTGGAAAACATATAGTAGTGAGGCATTTGAGCAGGAGAAAACCAGTGTCCCTATTGAGACAAGAGTAGCCAATGCAAGCCCAGGTCCTACGGCAGCCTTGCGGAGCTGCTGTGAACACTGACCTCCAGACTCCCCTTGGATGGTCCTTCTCATATACCACACAGGTCCCCTGAAGCCAAGGGGTCTATATGGCCCATCTCCACAGGGCTCAGTAGGCAGGTGTTCAAGTCAGGACAGCAAGGAAGGTGTCATAAGCTCGCCTCTCCATTGCAAAGGTCAGGGAGGTCACAGCACAGCCAGTGCCAAGGTCAGGGTCATGCAAAGGTCAGGAAGTAAAGCAGAGTGAACCTTGAGACCACTAAAGCATGACTCAGGAAGGAAGCGTAACATGATCTGGAAACCCAGTCACAGGTTAACTTTCTCCTGAACTTGAAGCACCCCGGAGGGCAGGATGGTAAGGCAAGTGATCCTCTCCAAGAGAAGGTGGAGGTCCCCCTCCCTAACCCCACAATTTGGTGGAAACACGAAGAACTCAATGACTTCCCTTGTCCCCACCAAAGCTGGGAAGACAAGCCTAGGCCATAGGCAAGTGACAGTTCCAAGACCAGGCTGATGGTATAATCACTGGAGGTGCTCAATAAAAACATGGATTCCTGTTCGCAAACTGTGAGACTGATAGATCTAAGGTAGGGTTCATCAATTCAGATGAATAACACCTCTGCATAGGAATCACTTCCTGGACCTCCCAGTTGGCCATAACCCCATTCTCCGGAAGCAGCCCCTTTTACCCATTCCCTCTGAGTCCAGGTGCCCCGTGGACTCTGGGTATGTGAGTCAGCCTTCATCTGTGATCTGTCAATGCTACACTGGACATACGGGCTTCCTTCTGGGAAACATGAAGATCTAGCTCATTCAGCCACCCACTTCCTGCACCTCCAAAAGTTGGGTAATGGTATAAATTCACTTTTTCTTTTGGTTATTTTGCAATTCTATCCAGTGTCTTCTCTTTCTTATTCATCCCTTTTGAAACAATTTCCTGGTTTGCTATGGAAATGATGAGAATATTACATATTTAAACCACAGCTCTGCCCCTTTCTTTTCCCTCTTCTATTGCATCCCTAGCCACTCTGTTTTTGACCGTCCACAGGCTGCTTTACCTTCTCCTGAAACCTCTACTCAGCCCTCCATGCTCTGTCCACAGGAAACTCCAACACTGAAAGACAGTTTGCTTCACTGACCCCAGTGGGACTTTCTATATATTGCTCACAGGCCAAACAGCATGCTGGAATTAGACTTCATGCTCTCTTGGTCCTTGGACGTTGTAAGAGGATTATTGTTCCCCTTGGGATCTGAAGATTTCTATTATACTCTGATAGTTGTTTAAAGTCATGCAATATTTTAGAGCAGTTTTGGTGTACAACATGTTATTTGAAGCTTTAGCTAACATCTAGAATTGCTTTCCCTTCTTCTATGGTCCTGCTTTGACCTGACCAGGTGGCCTGCAACAAGATTACAAAGCGTCAGATCATGCCCAGAATTACTTCTATGTGAGCTGACGTTCTGGCCTGTCATGGGTGGGAAAGGGAGGGACGACCCAGCGGGAGACTGACCAGGAGAGGGAACTTAGAAACAAACATAGGGCCAGTGGCTAAGTCATGGGCTCTACCAAGGTGTCACAGGGCCAGGAAGTGAGTGAGTCTGCGTACTTGTAAAAGTGAGATGGGGCCCAATATTTGTCCAAAAACTTTGCTAGTCCTTCTCCAAGACAACCCTTGGGATTTTCTCAACCTCTTCATATCTTGTTGGGTCCCCCTCTGGATGGAACAATGGCTCTCCTCCCTTGTCCTCATCCAGCTGTCCAAAAATATCCCTTGACTCCAGGCCGCAGGTAATTGTGACAGGAAGGAGACAGTGCCCACATAATGGAGGAGCTAGAATGTGTGTCTAACTGGGAGCTACAGCCTGTGGTGGAGCCTAGTAGAAAAGCAGCGAACAAAAACAAATAAGGGAGCCCTTGAGGCAAAGGGAAGCGTTCCAGACTGTTCATCTGTGTGGAAAGTCAGTGTCTGCTGATGGCAGGCCCTATCTGGATCAGTCTGGTCCTAGTGGACCTTGGGAATACTGAAGCTTATAGTTCAGGCTCCAAACACACCATTTTCTGCATCCCCTGAGGTCCTTCCACACCACAACCCTCCAGCAGGTCCACATTTCTGAGGCAAAGTTTGTTTAACTGAAAAATGGGGAACGGATGTGAACATCTGTGAGAGTTGTTATGGGACTAAACTGCGGGTGTCTGTGTGGCCTGTGGAAGAAACACAGATGTGCATGGCAGAGGACTACCTGTATCGAAGCCAGACTTCGTGCCTTCCTGGCTCTGTATCCCAGGGAAAGTTACTTAACATCTCTGAGCACGTCCTTAAACACATGAATCTGTGTCTCTTGAGGATGCGTGATGAATGAATAAACTAACTTGCATAAAAGCACACAGAGGTCTGGCACACTGCAACTGCTCAAAAGGTAATCACCAGTTAAGACTGTTAGACCAGTCTCTCTCAAGAACCTGCACTTTTTGTTTGGATAGTGATGGCC